ACTGTTGGATGTTATAATGGATGATTTTAATCGATTGAGGCATGTTTATTGAGCCAATTGAATCTTGATCAAGTTCTCTTGACTTCTGATATAACCTTTAATAGATAGAATCTGATTAGGTTATAAGAGCTTCTTCAATCGTTAGTAGTGAATTGATTGTACGAGAGTCAGTTAATTCACTGTTTTGTAATGAAATCGTTCCAAGTAGAGGGGATCTGTGTGAATTGCCTTAGCAGTCGATCCCGGTGAAGGCTAATCGATAGTAAAACAACCAAATGGAATTACAACTTGAACCTAACTGAAGGGCTAGGGGGACTCAATCCCGAGTGACTCTTCTCTTGCTTAAGTAAACCAAACAACTTGCTGCTTTCTTTCTGCTTTAGTTTAAATTCATCTACACTCAACCTTTCCCGCTAGATAATAGATAATCACGGAGTAGGCAGTACATCTAGGCCCTAGGTTGACTTTTATCACTTGTCCTACTATACTGCATTTCCATACTACGATTTCACTTGGTCGTAGTTTGGTGTTGTGTTTTAGCGAGTCAAGTTTTTGGCGCCGCTGCCGGGGACTTCTAGGTTATTGTAGAATCATGAAGATTTGCTACTTTAGCATTTACTTTTTTGCATTCTCTCTCTTCCACCTGTGTGCCTTCACGTGTTTTGTTTGAGATATGTGTGCAGGTAATGCATGACCCATAGCCAGTCGAGAGACATACTACCATTGAACCAAGAGCTTGAAAGAACCTGCGGTAATTTCAAGAGAGCTTTAAGGCGCGACTGGATGTGGAGGAAGCTTTAGCTCAACAGAACATCGCTTAGGAAGGAGAAATGGTGATGTCAATAATGGAGCTGGGTCCAAGCTCCCCTCCACCAAGCGACCCTTCTTCTTCGTCCACCTTGTCTCCAACACCTTCAAAGGCTCCAACTCGATATCTCCATCTGCACTAACAGGAGGAGCAGTTGTCTCCACTCTGTCCGACGCTCCCTAATAACGTTTCAGCAAGTAAACATGGAAGGTTGGATGAATGTGTGACTTCGCCGGTAGCTGGAGTCGGTATGCCACATGATTGACCTTCTGCAGAGTCTCATAAGGCCCAAAGTACCTCGCAGCCAGCTTTTGATAGGCGCGCCTGAAGACCGAAGCTTTTCGATAAGGATACAGTCTCAACAGTACCCAGTCACCCACCTAAAAATCCTCTTCTTTTCTGCCCGCATCCTCCATCTACTTCATTCGGTTGTTGGTTGCAGGCTGCAGCCAAATTATTGCACAGCTGCTCCAATGCCTCGTCCCGCGCACCCAACCACCTGTCCACAGCATCCACGGAGCTCGCGCCAATCTTGTACTGCACCAAAGATGGTGGAGGTCGGCCATACAAAGCCTCGAATGGCAAAATCCGGATGGCGCGATGATAGGTGGTGTTATACCACAGCTCGGCCCACGACATCATAGCCAACCAGATCTTAGGCTGCTGATGTGCAAAACACCGAAGGTACTGCTCCAAGTGTTGACGATCTCCGTCTGACCGTCCGTCCGTGGGTGATATGTTGAACCCATGCGCAAGGTCGTCTTTGCCATAACAAAGACCTCCTGCCAGAAGTTACTCAGGAAGACCGGATCTCGGTCACTCACAATAGACCGAGGAAACCCGTGATGTTGCACAACCCCCAGCACGAACTGCTCAGCCACGGTCTTCGCTGTATACGGATGCGCCAAGATCATAAAATGAGCATACTTCGTCAGCGATCTACTACCACAAACAACAATGTCTTCCCGCCCGACCGGGGAAGTCTCACAATAAAATCCATGCTGATGTCCTCCCACACCCGCTCTGGTACCGGCATCGGCTGCAGTAGACCCGTCGACCATAGATGGGTGAGCTTCACCGTCTAGCACATGTCATAGGATGCCACGTAGTGCTTCACATCCTCAGCCATGCGTGGCCAATAGAAATGAGCTCGGATCCTGCGAAGCGTCCGCTCGACTCTAGAGTGACCACCCAATGGTGAGTCGTGAAACTCCATCAACACGATGGTGACCATATTAGACCCAGGTGGAAGGACCACCCGGCCCTTGAAAGTCACCAGCCTCTGTCGAAAACGGTAGCTTCCTGGATTGTCACCCACTGCGATATCCCGACATCCCTGCAAATATGGACGGATCTCAATGGTTGCACGTAACTCATCCCAAAACTGAGGCACTGGGCCTGATACTGCCGCTAGAACCTCCCCGCCTGGCCGGCAGGACAGCCCATCCGCCACAACATTGGTTGGTCTGGGTTGGTAGTGGATTTCGTAATTGTATCTCAGCAATTTTGAAACCACTTTTGTTGCTCTGGCGTCGATACCCGCTGCTGTAGGAGATGCTTCAGACTCTGATGATCTGTATAAATATGAAACTTCTGACTCAGCAGATACAGCCGCTAAGTTTGTACTGTAGTGATAATGGTCTGCATCTCCTTCTTGTACGTCGACCATGCCTCTTTTGAGGGCGCCAGGGTCTTACTCATGAAGGCTATGGGGTGTTGATCCTGAGACAAAACTTCCCCGATCCCGCGCCCCGAAGCATCCTCCCCAATCATGAACGACTTCAATAAATCTGGCATAACCAAGGTGGGAGTCGTGGTCATCGCCTGCTTCAGCCCCTGGAATGCAGCCTCCGCCGTCGGTGTCCACCCAAACCCTCATTTCTTCAACAAATCTGTTAATGGTCTCGATATCATATTGTACCCATGCACAAACTACCGCTGGTACCCTGTCAGCCCCAGGAATCCTCGTAGCTTGGTCACATTAGTGGGCACTGGCCAGGCCACCATCACTTGAATTTTGGTCTGATCCACCTGCACCCCCTGTGGTATCACCACCTAGCCCAGATAATCCATCTTCTGCACTCCAAACACGCACTTGGAGTCCTTGACATAGTACTGGTATTTCCATAGAATCTCGAACACCTCCTGCAAATGTCTCAAATGGTCCTCCCACGTCGGACTATACACCAGGATATAATTAAAAAATACCAAGACATACTGTCGCAGGAGTGGCCGGAAGATGTTATTCATGGCTGCCTCGAAGGTAGATGGGGCATTGCACAACCCGAATGGCATTACTAGGTACTCGTAATGGCCATTGTGGGTGCGGAATGCCGTCTTTGGGACATCTTCCTCTTGCATTCTGATTTGGTGGTAGCCGTCTCTCAAATACAGCTTGGTGAAGTAGCTCGACCCATGCAGCTCATCGAGCATGTCGTCCACTGTCAGTATAGGAAATCGATCCTTCACCGTAGCCTTGTTGAGGGCTCGGTAGTCTGTGCAGTGTCTTAGCAAAGTCTTCCCCTACGAAATTCATTGGCCACTCTAACCACTATCGGAGATGTCGTACTCGCCACCCTCTGCAGTGTCTTAGCAAAGTCTTCCCCTACGAAATTCAGCGATGCCCCACTATCGACGAGAGTGATAGCTTGCTGCCCCGCCACGGTCTCACGAAATCGTAAGGTTTCGGGCGAGGAGATCCCCGCTACGGAGTGCAGGGAGACCACCGACGCCTCGTTCTCCTTCGCGTGAGTCTCCGGGTCATCCCCGACTTCGTCGTCCGCAATGCGCACACCGCAGCCAGATGCTCGACTTTCTCCTCGTCCCCGCCAGCCACGGCAGATAGAGGTAGCCCACCCGCCGCGTCGTCTTCACCATCCATCACGTGGGCCTTCTCACGCCGCAATGCGTGCTCCTTGCAGTACTCCACGATCTGCCATAGTTTTTCCTGCTTTTGAGCCCACGTCAACTCCGATATCTCCGTTGAACTCATTGGTAATCAATCTGGTAGGAAGCTGTCCCTGAGAGAGTTATTACGAACTCACCTGTCGAAACGGGGCTCTGATACCAAATGTTAGAAACAAAGAAGTTCCACAAGGGAATTAGGGATTGAGAAAAGAAGAAATTAGGGATTTGGGAGAGATTGGGGAAGAACAAGAGAGAGAGAATTGAGGATTTAGGGATTTAGGTTGAATAATTGATTATTGAGTAATCTGAAAAATATTGTTCTCCCTCCTTAAATACTAAACTCAAATAAGCAAAATAACAGTATTGCCACTCCCCTCTCACCCAGCCGAGTCCGCCGACCCAACCCGTCGGTTTCTAACAGTAGACTTTACCAACAAAAAAATAGTGTTGTCAAAATCGAACCGGGTAGTGATTCGGATTAACGAAAGGTTTAAGGTTTATCGGATAACCGGTGATTAGCTGGTATGAAACCGGTGATAAGACCGGTAGCATATAAAATTTTCAAATAAAATAATCATGATTTGATGGTAAGTCTTAAAATTAATTTTAATTTTTAAATTTAGTATTCTATTGGAAAATTAGATATTAAAATGTTAATCATAGTAGTAATTAATGGATTTTGACTTTTTGGAGTTTGACATTGAGAAATTAAATGGTGGACTTGAGAAGAAGAAGGAAGTAATTAAAGTAATAATTTGAATAAAAAGTAAATAACGTAACACAATGTTGCCTGTATGTCACTAATAAACAAGGCTTTGGGGAAGAAATTAAGGAGAAGAAAAAGAGAGGGAATCGTGATTGAGAGTAAGGAAAGGAAAAAGAATGGAAAAAGAAAAGTAAAGAGTGTGTTAGGAGGAATTATTGTGCTAAAAAAAGGAAAAGAATCAATTATCTTTACCTTTTCAATGTAATGCATCGGTTATGATAAATAAAGGTAAGCAATAATTAAGAAAAAATGGCAAGCAATAATCTCAAAACCGGGGGTTCCTTTAGACGGTTTTGCCGATTAACCGGCCGAACCGGTTCATACCCGGGAAGGCAGCTTGTTTATCGTTTATAGACAGTCGGAATCGAATTTGTGTCCGGAACCCGTTAGCTGCGGTCTGACCGTCCGGTCCGGTTTTGATAACAATGCAAAAAAGATAGTACAAAAATAGGAAAGAGAAAAGCAGTAAATAAATCTATACTATACTATATACCAGCGGCCAGCGCTAGTCAGTATTTAATTCTCTATTATATATAGATAGTTAGAAGGATAGATGAGTTCATTCATCGAAAAAGGACAGATGAGTTCATGGGGAAGCTTTAATCCAGTACTGATGACGAAGACCATGAGCCGCCAACTCTTCCTCCTCCTCCTCGGCGTTCTTGGCACGGTAGCTTCAGCTGCGGCCGGTGATCATATTCATCCGTCGCCCAAGGCGGAACAAAGTCGGTTGCTGCCTTTCAGTCGAGCCAGCTTTCCAGATGGCTTCCTCTTTGGTGCCGGAACTGCTGCTTACCAGGTCGTCGAACCCCGCCGTATATATAATATATGCCATCAATACCCTTGATGAATTACTTACTTATTAGTGTTAACTATTACTTATACAATCAATATTTATGTAGTCCGAGGGAGCCGCTTCGGGAGATGGCAAGGGGCCTAGTATCTGGGATACCTTCGTTAAGCAACATCCAGGTCAGCTAATTACTGATCTCTCCCGCGCGCTTTAATACTAATCTCTTACCTAGCCAGCTAGCTAGCTCGCTCTTCATTCCTAGTCAACTTTTCCTGCTAAATATATGTTTATATATACATATGGTTCAATCTAGCGTACGTCAGTCGTACATTGTACGCCCGTCGAGTTTTACTATTTACAGCACGAATTAATCGAAATTTTGAGCATAATATTATACCCTAATCTCTACTATGTGAACCTCGGTCCTTAATATTCTCTAACCCAAACCACAAGATTCATTTAATTTAAAAAATAATAAACGACGATTCTGATTTAACTAAATATGTTGAAGTGCAAAAACCAAGTGTGCTGTCAATAAATGGAGTTTTAATTCTCACCGGAGAGAAACGTCACAAACCCAAATTAAGGTAATCATCATTACTGTATTTGGTAGGCGTAATAAGCCTGTATACGTCTTTAACAGATCGTATTAAAAGCTCAATGTGAACTTTAACAGTCCAGGAAAGGGATATAATCGCACCATAATTATTCATCATCATGTCCATTACTGCAATTGGCTGTAAATCTAAAACATAAATCTCCACCTGTAACGTCATGCCAATGAAATTAAAGAATAAAATTTTAAAAGCCTATAATGAAAAGTGAAAACTAACCAAGCAATAATTAATTATGTTAATTAAGCAATAATTATCTATTGAAACGTAAAATTATGTTTTTCTTCTGTTTGTTTCTGTGGGGACTCACAATTGGTTATTCGACGAGTTTTGGAGAACGACGTTCAACATGATTGAGGAGTGCGATTCTGGAGGAAGTTCGATTGATGAAGGCCCCTTTCTCGTTTATTCGTTTTGTTTTTTCTCCCCCGTAGAACTAACAGGGCTGCCCATTGCGTGGCTAAAACAACCCTTTCATCGGTAGCTCAACACTTGGTTGACTACCGCTATTTACTTTTCAACTCTCTGTAATTCCCTATCTATTAACAATATTCTATCTATGAAAAAAAAATAACGTAAAATTTTGACTTCCCTTAACCAAAACGCCGCGGCCACGGCGGAGGATTGAACAGAACGGCGGCAGCGTCATTGCAGCCGTTGTGAAAAGGAAAAAGGTCAAAGTTTGCTCGCAAGTCGTGACACAAATCACCGGAAAAACGTTGTTTCTGCTCTCTTCCTCGACCCTTGTTAGTGTGTGGTATATGATCCACGATTGAACCTCTCCCAACAACTCGAGTTATTGGGATCAACTGGTTCTTGACATGGTATCAGAGCCTTATGTGATCGAGAGGTCTTGTGTTCGAATCCTGGTAACCCCCATTTGTTTGTTAAGCACATGGTATGTGGACCTGTGTAAACTTCAAGCCCTTGTGAGTGGTTTTCGTTTGAAGGGACGTGTTAGTGTGTGGTATATGATCCACGATTGAACCTCTCCCAACAACTCGAGTTATTGGGACCAACTCGTTCTTGACAACCCTCGCCATTAATCCTCTTGCTTGTCATTGTAGCCACAGTGAAAATGGAATAACCTCAAAACAAGCCTGCTGCTTTGAAATTCGTCGGGAGGCGATTTCGTCATCGGAAACGCTCTCTCCTGACCTTGAAGCACCTATCCCGTGGGCAGCTAACCGATTCGCTGTCTGGTCCACCCTCGAGGTCAAAATCACAACCTCTGCCTTGACCCAGTCGCACAATTGGAGCCTCTCTGGCACCATTGGGATGAAGATGAAGATGTAGGGGGTGTACGGAAACCACAGAGGTCATTAATTCTAGCGAACAGGTTCTTTAATGCATGCAGTCGGTACCGTTCGCCAACCGCCAAGAATATTGAAGGAGTGAGAGAAGACGGGGCCAAGGATCCTCAAATCCCTAGCAGGAATTGCCACACGCTCCCAGAGGGCATAAATTTGCAAGGGGAGAAGAAAGGTGTTGCGGGAGAAGAAGAGTCCGTCTCCCAGAGGGGGAAAGGAATTCCAGAAGATGAGGGAAATTGTAATCTTTGGAGACTATCTGTGACTTTGTGTTTGAAACCAGTGGAAGGATTGATTTGCCACTCCACCAGCTCCTTCTGAAGCCAATTGCAGGCAATCTTACTCAGTGTCTTCCGAGCGGTGGCGGAGGAGCTGGTCATGGCGGAGAGCGCTGCGGGGAGGAGAGAGAGGGGATTTTCAGTGGTGGCAAATGAATTGTATTCATATGGTATACAGTATGCCTAAGATTGGTAAATTCTTCAGCGAGACTGTTTTAAAGGCTAAACATTGACTAGTGAAGAACAGGTCAAATAGACCCATTGATAATGGGTAAAGTATGAGTGAAGTATATATATGTGTTTGAGTGTTTGTATATGGGTTATATATGGGTTTCGTGATATGATCCTGATTGGCTCAATCCAAAATCTAGAATGGCTTCGACAAGGAGCCATATCATCAAGCCAAAAGTACCCTAAAAATGGGCTGAGTGTTTTTCCTGTTTCGGGTTACCTAGTTAGCAAGCTTGGTCGTCCCAAATGGTTCAATGGAAATCCAAGGAGAGGGGCTAGAATGAAAGTGCAAGAGTTTTTCTATGAGATCCAAGGCTTGGGAGGTCAGCCACAAGTTTGCAAGGTAGTTTTTCAAGTCCCTATACTTGTTATGGCAAAACCGAGAAACTGGCCAGAATTGGCCAAGTCTGGAAGTCGGTGTGAGAAGGCTACTTTGAACAACTACTCGAGATGGAAGGAGGAGAGTCGAGCTAGGAGATTTGTGCCACATGAAAGTAGACATTTTCTACTCTAGCATGAAGGAATTGGTTGAGAAAATACGTACCTGGAAGGCCTCGATCGAGTGAGCAGAAGATCGAAGGAAGCCTCATTTTGAAAGACTGCTTCTCAGCAAATCCGAATCCGTTTCGAATTAGAATTACGTGTTCTCTTTGTTTTTGACTTCTGTGTTTTCGTATTCTAAAGTAATTAAGATTCCTATCATGGTTTGTACGCATAGTTAGGCTTATTTAAGGACGTTTGTCATCGTATTGTAAGACAGATTTTACAAGATAGAATTCAAGTTTGATTTTTCGTTCATTAAGCTAGTCGCTTGTGAATTGGTTGAATTGCTTGGAGAATTTCCAAGAGTTTAGTAGCTTGTACCGATCAATTGATCGTGGCCAACATCGAGTCATACTCATCAAGCCTTCTCCCGCCTGAACGAGCTGCGCGAATTCAATCACGATCCTAGCTTCTAGGGTTGTATTATTTGGGTAAGGTATGGATATTGCTTCCAAAATCTAAATGTGTATGGGTTAGGTATGAATACCCATTTATTTTAGGATCTTTTAACAACACATACAAAAATAGGACATATTTGTAACACTTAAAAGTTTAGATACCAAAATGTAAGACCAAAAAATTTAGGTTCTAAATATAATTTTCCATCGATATTGTGAGGACTTATATGCAATAAAAACTAAATTTAGGTACTAAATCTATAGATCTAAGAAGTTTAGGTACCAAACTGTAATTTGTATTTCGGCATGGGTAAAACCCAAATTCATGTAAGAAAAACTCAACATAATCCAAATAAATGAGTATGAGTATAAACCCATCAAACTTTACCCATTTACCATCTATTTGGATTTCAAACCAAACCCAATTGGGTTGGTAGTAAAATACCCATGGGTATGGGTAAAATTGCCATCCCTAACTAATATATTCTTAAAAAGGATTAGGGTGCGCCTATGGTTCATTGCAAGTCACCGTAACTTGCACAATTTGGTCGACCTATGCGTAATTGCGGTCGACCGAATTCACTATCGTGGTCACTCTGATGGAAAATCACGGTCGACCATTAACATATAGTGGTCAACTGTTTTAAGTTAGTTGATATTGAAATGGTCGACCACACTAAAACTTCGGTCGACCTTTTAGGGTAGACAGAAGCAAAATGGTTGCCCGTAAATGTTAGGAGGTCGACCACTTGATGGTAGTCATTACCGAAATGGTCAACCATTTACAACAACGGGTCGACCGGATAGACGACTAAACTCTTATCCATTCATCCATCCCCTTTGACATGAAATGTAGATAAAAAGTGTTGGTTTCGCGGTCGACCACATACTGTAAGAGGTCGACCGGTTATAGGAAAATCAACATATAACCTTTGACTTTTTTGCTTATGTCTGTCGATGTGCGTGGTTTGTTTGCTCATACGAATTATGATTGAAACCAATCTAACTCGCACAGAATCAGTCCACAATCATGATAGCAAGAAACCATAACTTCATAACAACGTAACACACTAACACGAAATACAATAAAACATACCTCACAATTGTTCACACATACTTAAAATCGAAAACCACAATGTCATAATTTCAATCCACCATCATAGTTGTTTCAAACCAAATCGTCTTAACAACAACAACAAAAAAACAATCTACAATCATAGAGTTCCTATACCTCTCCCCTCTCCTTTCACTCATCCGCATTTTTCTCATTGGTGGTGCTAGCATTATGGTGGTCGGATGTGGTGGGATGCATGTATCTTCCACTGAAGGATCGGAACTCATCTCACATCTATGTTATAGTCACCTGTAGTGTGCTCATCTTGCTGGACATCTGCCCTATGTAGTCGTACATGACATCCATGCGGTCCCATATACGATCTAGGGTGACTTGTGGAGTTGAACTTTGTGGCTGCGCCATTGGCTCATCTCCGGGCTCATCATCATCATCATGGACTAAATGAGGATTGTATGCTCGGACATACACACCATCATGCATTTCAAATCTCATCTTCTTCAGGGATGTAACTATGTAAAACTCCTACCTTCTGACTCTTTAACCAACCTTTTCACTTAAATTCATAGAAAAATTCTCAAATAGCAAACTGAGGATCATCCCATAGGGAAGATTCCTGTTTGAACTATCTGCAACAACAAGCATGCGTTTAAAGATCAAATATGGCAAGTTAATCTTCTCATGTGAAAGTAGGTTGGTGAGGAGCTCCATGTCAAAGTAGGTGACTACCACC